ACCTCTTGGGGAAAGTGGATCCAAACTTCCTGTTTGGAACCCCAGCTCAGTTAGAAGCTCAGTTGAACCTTCCAGAGAGAAAGGAAACACAAAAACAGACCACAAAAACTGGATTCCTGACATTAATTAATTAACTTTAATACTCAGATGCAGAATTCCAGCATTTTTCAGGGAAATAGGACTCCTTTAATTCAATTCAGTTTATTTCTATAACGCCATTTCACAACACATGTCAAGTCAAGGCACTTTATATTTCAAGCAGGTCATCCAGTCAAATGCAATGTTTTCTATTTAAGGAAAACCAGTTGGTGGCATTGAATCATTGACTCTAAGGAATTCGCTCACACTAAGCATGCTTGTAGCGACAGTGGAGAGGAAAAACTCCCTTTTAACGGGAACATCAAAAAAGTTCAATAAAACTAAAATCTTCTAATATGGTAATTATTAAAAAGCATCCAAATCTGTTTGAAATAAATGTGGATATTTTGCCCGTACAACAACCTCTGCTTAAAGGGTAACCCCACATTTACAATTAAACCCAGCTGGGCTGCAAACCTCTTCAATCTTCTACTCGTACTCGCCCTGAAGTAACGGGGAAGTAAGAACACAGCAACTCCATCCATGACTTTTTAAAACAGCTAAAACATCCTGACTTTTTTTTTTATTTGTATTTTTGGGCATCCAGACATTTTCAGAAGTTCTTTTTCTACAATTAGTGATTACACTGAATCCAGAGAAGCTGTATTGTTTCTTATAATTATGACAACATGGCTGACTAACCCAAGTGGTAAGTCACTATGGAGGTTGATCGGTCTCAATTTTCACAAATACACATATGTGATTCACGCATGCACGTCAAATGATTCGCCAAAGTATTTTTGGTCCATAAACAATTATAAATTAAATACCAAAGTACCAGAGTTCTTTAAACTTCAATGCATTTGTGTGTTGATTTTTGAGATTTTCATGACATGCCTCGATACACAATTTTTTTTTAAAACGGGATGGTTTGCAACCAATCACAGAGCTCCCTTGTATAAGCCAACACAAGAAAGTAATCCCCGTGGGCAGTGGTGTCAAAAGTTCACACATTTGTTACTTCAGTAGAAGTATAGATACTGCAGTTTAAAAAC